CTTTTGGTGTTAGAGACATTTTATTGAGACAACTTTCATGATCAGAGGCACAAACATTTTTTTTCCAGGCCTGATTCAGGTACACACAAAAAATGTTTAGCACAAAACCAGATTTAGCCCATTGAGATATTTATATGATTACCATTCCATATAAAAAGAAGCAGTGGCTGAAACCAAACTTCGGTAATAAATAATTATATCTGATGTCTCAACTCTCCAGTAAAATCCTGAACATTCAATGGCTTATTCAAAAAGAAGTTTTCCTACTCTGAATGACACACTAATTGAAACAATTCAGTGACTTTTCTCTATAATAATACCTACATCCTTTAAGTGATTACCCACCAATTTAACAATGCAAAAGAAATGGTTTCATTTTGTGTCTTTTAATTTGTGAGGAAATTAAGTCTTTATCATTTTCTTTGTTGGTGGTATATTTTTTAGCAGCTTTATGGTTCCGCTCCTTTTAAGACCTTGTAAAACCACTTGGAATTGATAATTCTGCCATGGTTGTGATGTTTGTGGCTTCTTTTTTGTGGGTTTGAGTTTTCATTGCTATGAAAATCTACCGGAAGTAATGTCTTTTTTGTATGAGTAATTATGATGAATGAATGGGAATCCTTTTGTCTGACAGTGAGATCTAGACAAACACCTCAGTGGTGTAGGACCATTTCAGCTGCAAACAAGTTCTGCCACGATGTATAAAACACATTTTGTATTGTATGTTTTCAGTCAATTGAATGACTAATAAATATCCTAAATCTGATGATTATAATATAATAAATATGCACTAACTTAAAAGTATTCAAAAAAACGGTGGGAAATGGAAAAAAATACATGTTTTATTTATGTCAATTTGCCAAGGAGAGCCCAGGCTAGGCATAACATACCAAAAACTAGCATAATTCTAAGTTAACAAACTTAGAATTCTCACTGGTAAATATCATAAGCCTATTTATTTGTAAAGTAAGTATAGTCTATATTTTAATAATAAAACAAAAAACATGCTTAATTTCCTGATTTTATGGATGTTAAATACACTGTAGATCTCGGCAAAACTAGTTCGTGACCAAAACGGATAGCATTAAAAAAAATTTGCCCAAGCTGTAGGTATATTTTACCCTATTTAATAAGAAGAATATTATACTGTAATAATTGTCAGGGGCGGATCAAGAGATGTTCGAATAGGGGGCCGAAAGTGGGGCCAATCCTGATAGCACCACCCTAGATGTCTGGGGCGGGGGTGGGAGAATGCGAAAATTTGGTTTTATAGATGCCCAAAAATAACCTCTGAGGCGCTTTGGGCGATCAATTTTTTTCTTTTCCTTTCTTTCTATTCTTTTTTTTTTTGCTCTCCCAAAAAGTGGGCCCCCCTTAAATCCACCTCAATAGAAATATAGCTGATAAGATAGAATCAAAGTGAAAATAAATTTATATGCTATTCATAAGAAATGATGTAGTATATTCCTTTATTAAATTTTACTTAATTATATTAATATATTTTTATACTAACTGTATTTATTATTTACTTATATTACCTATTACTTGCATATTATGTATTTATTTTCTTACATATTTACTTAATCTGTTTACTTACCAGTACTAATTATTTACTTATTCTATTTACATACAACTTATTTACCTTTAATATTAAAGTTGTCCTACATGTGACATAGGTCATTAGACCTTCATAGGCCTAACTTAAGCCAGCAGTGACTTCAGGTTTCTCCAATATATCCCCACCCTCACTTCAACTTCACTATGGTTGAATATAAGGCAAAAAAAAAGTTATGCAAAAACCCAGGATAAAATTTGAATAAGTAGCTTAGCTTAGACTTACAAATACTCTCAGAATATATGTCTCATTAAGTTTGCAGGTTTGTATCGCTCTAGAATTATTGTATGATCTATTGATGCTCAACGGAAATAAAAGAAATTGTCATTGTCAATATATATGAAATATTAGCTTTGAATTGGGCATTTGGTGCTAAATATTTCCTTTTAAATTTGGGATTTCCTTGATATAAACCCACTTCACAAATAGCAGACATATATATTTAAATATGATTTTTAATGCTGTGTGCTATTATTACAAATTTCCAATTTAGCTAGCTTGCAAACAGACAATATATATATAAAAAAAATGAATAAAAAATAAATAAATAAAAAATAATTTATTTTGTATTTCTAGTACAGAGACTTTTTAAAATGTATATGTTACAGAAATATATATATATATATATTCAAGTGAAAGCAATGATTAAAATCAAATGCTTGATAGAATTGATCTAATTAATTTTATCAGTCATTTTAATTGTATAGAAGCATGAGTGCTATATCAAATTTGTAAGATACTGAGCATGTATATAAATAAGAATTGTGTATATACATTGGAATGACAATAAAGGTGGGAAACACCCACAAAAGACAAAAAAAGCTTGCAAACAGACACCTAAACATAGAAATACACAACCTTGCATAAAATCTACCTAGGCGCTAAATAAACTAGTTTAATTAGGCCAAATAAACAAAAATTCCTTGTTTCCCATCCCCTCTCTCACCATTTTTTGGGCTTGCATAATTTTTTTGTTTTGTTTTTTGTTCTTAAAATTTTTGTGTTTTTTTACATTTAAAATACAAAATTTTAATTTCTGACACATTTTATATTTTACAAATGCAATTTTAAACACAAATACATGATAAAAGCAAGACAAGCAATGCTTTGACACATTTTGACAAACTGTGAAAAATAACAAATATCAAATAACAATTGCCTGCCTGCCTCACCAACTTTTTGAAAAACCCAGGATGGGAAACAAGGATTTTTTCTTACTTGGCCATGTAGTTCTTCAGGTTTAGTCAGTGAACTGAGTGTAAATGAAAACATTTTAGGGAGTGAATACTTTGCAATAATATACCAACAGAATATTCACTCAGGTACCTTGATAATATTTTCCCCATGAGTTCAAATAATAACAGAAAAACCCAGGCTATACAATAATAATCAAGTTGAGAGTGTTTCTTCAAGCCCATCTAATTAGGGTCAAGGTGTGTATGTCTTTTATTTTCCTCATACCTGTCACTATTATTATAAGGATTAGTGAGTAACACTTTGGAGTAGACAAGCCTATTCATAAACCCCTGCTTGACTGTAGAGCAATTTAAGGTGTGCCAGCAAACACTTGGTCTCATAAGGCGAGACTCAAAATGTACTGTTTACTAGTGTTTCTTCCGTTGTTTGTTTAATAAAGTGTTTTGCTGTCTATGACTCAAATTTGTGTATTTTTAAGGTTCTGATAGGAATGCGCCCTCGCTAATTATCATGTTCTAGCTACCCTTTAAATATCCATTACCTTAATAAAAATGTGGGGGTTTTTTCGCCTTATATTATCTTGAAAGAGGATGATTGAAATACTGTAAACACAACACACCCTGTTATTGTACAGAAAATAAAATAATGAAGATTTGAAATTACAGTGTATTTTCATTTTTCATTTAAATGCTACAAGCAAACTAACTTTTGTTAAGCAAATTACCATTCAATAATAGATCAGCTCTTAGGTAAATTTATTCAAATTATTGTATTTTACATCATTCTTCATATTTGTATTACTGTAACGTTCAATTGACAATCAGAATGAGATAACATGTTCTCAAAAATTAACAATACTGTAATACTGTTCCTATATATTTATTACATTAAAGTGGCTTGTAATAAATTTAAAGATTTGCAGATCACTGGGGCGGATGCAGGATTTGGTGGTGGTGGGTACGTGCTAGTCCACACCACCTCAGCCCCAACATGGTTGGGACTGAGCTGAGAAAATTTTGAGAATATGGAAATTACACTCTCATATTTTGAAAATTTTACCAGTACTATGTGCATGATGATAAAAATAATATATCAATAATACATTACAACAATTATTTTAATTAATACAATCACACCATCTGCATCCTCTCCCTCCTGCATCATCTCCTTCCTGCATCCACTCCCTCCTGCATCTGCACCCTCCCTAAGGTCAGTAAGAACCAAATTCTCTCTATTCATGTCTAAATAAATGTTGTTTTAAATTAATTTTGGGGGTTTTTTTTAACCATATTTTTCCCACATGCCGTATTATGGCATGTTAGTGAATGAAGGGCATGATTAGTAGACTGTACCAGGTCACGTACCGGTATTTGTCCTTTCAGGATACAAATACTCACCATACTCATTTTCATTTATGTAACCTCCTTTTAGCATCATGAATAAAATTAACCAATGGAACATATTATTATCTGTAATAACTACCCATACTTGTTTTTTTTTTTTTAGGTCCGTTGCTTCTATATAGCTTTAAGTCTTATCCTGAATAGAATTGACCAATGGAACAAACTATTATGTGTAATAATTATACTTATATAGTCTTTTTTTTAAGGTCAGTTACTTTAAGTTCAATTAGGTCAAATAAAATTTTGTATAGTCTTTCATAGAAAGTGGTAAACTACAAAAATGTCCTAGTAATACTAATTTATTGCTAAATTATTTCTCTCTTGAGACTAAATTATATAATAGATAAGGTCAATTTAAATACTGAAGCTGAAGTTTATTTTGTTTTCTGAAATTCATGTACAGTGGTATCTCAAGAAGAAGCCTATGTTATTTTGAAAAGAAGCCTATGGGCTTCTTTTCGAGGCTAACTTTTGCAAAATAAAGAGAGGGGCTTCAATTCGAGATGGGCTTCATCTCGAGGTTAAGCCCACACAGGCTTCAATTCGAGGTTTTACGGATCTCTCCAGGACTATAAGTATGTGTGCAGGCTATACAAACACATTTGATGACAGGCCCGTATGTCCCTTGCCTTTACGCTGTCATTTTGTAGTACCTTAGCAACAATATCCAAATGACATGGCTTAGTGGAATGGTACAGTACAAGATGGAAGTGATCAGCGGAGGATGTAGGGGAGAAAGGCAAGGCAGCCCTGCCCCCCCCCCCCCTTTGAAAAGTAAAAAAAAGAAAAAATAAAATCACCCAAAACACCTCAGAGGTTATTTTCAGACATCTAGAAAATAAAAATTTTGCAGGAGCCTGCCTCAGACCCCCTAGTATAATGTTATCGGCCCGGCTCGGACATCTCTGGATCCGCCCTATGTGATGTTATGTAAAACTAAGCTCATTATGATGTTTAGGGAATGGTTGTTTTTGGATGCTATTAGGTGTCTTTCAGGATTTAAACTCAAGAGTGGTGGGTCCAGGGGGTGGGGAGAAATCGGGGTCGAACCCCCCAAAAAAAGAAAAAAAATAGCGATAAGAAAAAAATTTAAATGAGAAAGAGCATATTACTCCAAAACAAGCTAATTTTCAATTTAAATTTCATCTACCAGTGTTTATGATCAAGCATTTCTAAGCAAAATTTCAAAACCATCCTCAGTGTTTGTCACATAGCCCCTACCAGAATTTTCCTTGGATATGCCCCTGCTCAAGACCCTTGGATTGGAAGCATAGTTTCTTAAACACTAAGCTACACCTTCACCCTAAATTATATATCTTTATTTATTGTATCCTCAGGCTGCTCTTATCCCTTTTCACCCTACATACCTTTTGTTATTTTACCCCAACCCTACCCTATTTTACATTAAAGGGACTATAAAATATACTTTGTACTTATAATTTATTGTGGTTTTTGACGTACAATAATACTTGAAATGCAAGGTTAAATATCTATTATGTATTTCAGCCAGAATGTAGCCAGAGGCTGATTTTTTTATGCTTAATAGTTCACGCTATAATGCAGAGCTTAGATCTGGAAATTCGCTTTTGATCATTAAGCGGAACCTTTGCTTTTGTAACCTCTTCCAAGCGACACAGTGCTAGGTTCACAGAGGTCCCAATCTCCTGAAAATCGATGTTGTTGCATGCACGCTCACGAGCAAGCAAAAATCTTTTGGAAAAGAACAAAATTAATGGTGTTTGCATGTTTTTGTGAGATCTCCAACAACCACATCTCAAAGAAGAGTAAGATCCCAACCAAATCTCACAGAAGTGTAAGTTCCCAACCAGATTTTACAGAATTATGAGATCTTGGGGCTCCAAGGTTCAGTGCATGTAGAGACAGGATTTACCTCATTACTAGTAATAGTTAAAAGATATGCATTCTGGGGGACATTGGACACCAGCAGGGCCTAGAGAAACAGGGAAATTTTGGCCATTTTAAGCTGTAAAAATACCATGCGAGATGCGAAGCACAGAGAGGATGTGGATGGTGGTGCTTGAGATTTTAGTTTATAAATTCTTTGTAGACACTGGTACATGAAAATTAAATCAAAAATTAGCTTGTTTTGGAGTACCGTGCACCACTCTTTCTTCTTGTTTTTTTCTCTCTCTTTTTCACTCTTTTATTGAAGGATCCTAGCCACCATGACATCCTGGATCTGCCCCTGTATTATATTATTATTTTACATTACTGTATTATATTATTACTCTAATAGAGTTGCTTACAGTACATTGGATATTCAAGTTAATAGCTTATATATAATAACAAGAAGAAAAAAATTCCAACTAACAAGTACAGAAATACTGTAATACCATTCCTGTATTTTTTGTGTAGATGCTTTAAGGGCAATTATTTTGTCAGCGGTCATTGTCCATCGTATTGGCCTCCTGTTAATGGTTTTAGCTTGACTGCATCAACATAAAAAAAGAATTTGTTCTCATACAATTTAAGAATTTTTGTAGTAAAATGTCTGTAACTCGGCAAAAACTTTTTTTTTTTCGATCTGTGTGTAGTTAAGCCCTGTCCTGACTATTATTTGACAAAACATATGACATGCCTAAATATGGTGATGATGACATCACTTTATGATGATATATAGGCACATCACGGCTATATATGGACATACAATCAGTTGTTTTTTTTGGCCCTTTTAAATGAGCAATTCAATATTTTAGTATATTCTATGTTTTTCCAGAGACAAGATATCTTTGAAGCTAAAAAAAGCATCTGATCTGGAACCTCTATCCCTTATTCCCTAGGCCCAGTGGTGTATCTAGGAGACTTGAAGTTGGGGTGCTGATGGGGGGTGCGAAGGTGAAGTGGGGGCTCAATATTTTTGGTATGATATTCTGCATGTTATTCTGCATATCATGGGTAAGACCTACAGTACCCCAAAAATTTAAGGAAGCAAATATGATTCACTTGGTCTCCCACTGAGTATGTCTATTGTTTATTTTTATTTTTTTTTTTGCAGTACCTGTGTGTTCCAATTCTTTTCAAGTTCTTTTCAGTAAAATAAAAGTGCTATTGAACATGTTTTAAGTGGGTGTTAAAGTCCTTGTAACGGGTGCTGTTGACTTACTACTCCAAATAGGCTTTCATTGACTCCTATGCATCCAAATATTAATACAGTACATTGATGCTTTGTTGCTGTCTGGGAAAACCAAGACTCTTTTATTACACAACTCTCAATTTACTTTAAATTATTCAGTCTAGTAATAATACTATACACCCCCATTTCCAAAAGGTAGAGCTTGTTCTATTTATGTTTTTAATCAATTCTTATTCGATGACGTCATCATAGTAATCTAAGGCAGGCTGTCTATTGTCAGTTTTCAAGACGATTAGCCAAACAGTGGCGTCACAGAGTTATATATACAGAGAATATTCTAGTGAAAAACAAAACATGTTTTACTAATGTATATAAAATGAAAAATAGATTGATCACAAAATCAGAAACAAATGTCTAACATCAGAACACAGCTTTCATTGTTTAAAACTGTTGGGGACCCATTGAATGAAACTGGTATTATAGTTTATATTATATTTCATATTACTCCAATGTCAGGGCCCCTTGTGCCTGGGGGTCCTGGTGCTCCGCCCCCTGTCAGCACCTGAGCGTGACGCCATTGTTGCCAAACAACTTCTTTCCAATTGTAAAATGTAGGGGTTGCACTTACGTAACCCAAACATTACACAACATAGTATATCATAATCCAAGTATCGAAATGCACGCCATCATGCCGGGATTCAATATTTCAACATTAATTATATCATCATCAGGGATGATTTTGAGTATGTATTATACTATCTTATCTGAGATTAATCAGTGGCCCTTTTATTACACCGTATTTATCATTTACCTGCTATTTGGACTCTAAAAGTAATTCCAGATTCGGAGTAAACACAGTTTAATACGGCCTCTATATCCCATGCGAATAGATAGAGAATGGTTGGCCTAGAAAATAGATATAGAACATTATGCAGTGATTTGGAGCTACTTAGATTTGTGTTGTTCTCTCATCTTTTTTTTAATGTAAAATGCATAGATGATCAAATATGATGATAAACTATAAAAAATATTGTATTCATTCATTCGTTTATTCATTCGTTAATTTATTCATTCATTCATTCATTCATTTATTCATTCATTCATTCATTCATTCAAAGATTACAGTAACAAAAACATGCAAAAATTAAAAATGACAGAAAGTATTGGAAAACATATTAACATACATTGGCCAGGATAGCCCAAGAAAACCAATAGCAGGTTTATTTCCATTGGGTTACTGTGTTAATTTTGTATTAATCCTGTGAACGTAGGATCTTGAAATTTCAGCGGCAAGTTCAGAGATTGGTAAAAGGAGCACCCTCCCCCCCCCCAATCCCCACCAGCAACAGTCACAAAAATACTTTTAACAATTGTGAGATTATTTACACAAGACATCCAGAATTCCAGGGGAACTGCCCTCTTTCTCGTTAGAGAACACTTCAAAACCGACCTCTCGGCCTATAGTCCCCCCACACCCCTTTCGGACTACCACTAACACCACCCTGGTAAAAAAAACCCTGCATCCACTACTGAATTTTTAGCATCTTTTAATCACCAAGTTAGAGATCTCTCTCACTCTCTCTGCATTTACTGATTACCTTCTTTTTGTCAGACGACACGTATCATAAATCTCACACCTTATGGGTATTAGGTGCACTTGAGTTGCTACCATTATTTTTGCTGTTATTTTTTACGTACACCTTTTGTGTTAGCACTATTGTGGTATTATCAATGGGATGTGAATTTCTTAAGGTTTAATGAAGTGTTTCTGGATTATATCCCTTCAGTTGTTTCGGGGGTCATTTGTCCAAGTTGAACTTGATGTGACAGATAAGGCATCAGACCATTCATCCACATAGGCTACATAAATTTGGTCTTAAGTCCAAAATAATTGAACACAAATATATTTTCAGTAATTAATGCACACACAGCCCTACCACCTCCCCTCCCTCCCCAAACTTAATAATAATAATAATAATAATTGTAACTTATATAGCGCATAATGTATAATACCTCCATGCGCTTTACAGCAGGGAGTGAGATAAATTATTTCAAGTTTCACCTAATTAAAAAAGATGCATGTATATCAACTATATAAATATTATTAACTTTGTTTATTTTAATTTATTGATAATTTGAAAAATACATGCCTATTTTGTCTCATAGTTACCTTACTGTATTTACTGCCTATTTACTGTTTTTATCATTGACTTTGACATAGACTTATTCTGTGTGCTATTTCCCACAGTTTCTTATCATTGATCTTTTGTTCTTTTAATACTAATTATATATTGTTAGTCTCAAAAGTGCTGCTGTTATTTACTTTATATTGAAAAATACACTAATTAAAATTTTCTTTGATTTGTTAAATATTTCTTTTCCTTATTCTCTTAAACCTTCCTTTTCCTTTTTTCATGTCTTTTCTTTCCTTTTCCTTTTTTTTCTTTCATTCGTACGGCCTGTCTATCTTTTCCTTTACTTCCCTGTAATTTCTTTCTTTACCTTTTCTTTAAAAGGAAAAGAAATCCTTTTTTTTTCTTTTATCTTGTTTTTATTTCTTTTTATCTTTTCCCCTTTACTTTCATTTCCTTTCTAATACATTTTCCTTTTCTTGCCTTTTATTTCCTCTTTTCTTTTCTTTGCACATTTCTTGTTCTTTACCATTTCGTTTTCCTTTCCTTTTTCTTTTCGTTCTATATCTTTCAATTTCTTGCCTTTCTTTTTGTTTCTTTTCCTTTACATTTTCATTTTCCTTTTATTTATTTTTTTTTGGGCTCTTCTTCCTTCTTCCACACAACTTCTCCCTTGAAAAGCTTATGCTTTCATGCACCTTACAGCCCTTGAAAATGTGGATACTGCAGTGTGTCTTTGTCGATCAGGGATTGAGAGTTGGAGTAACGCTAGCAAGGGACCGGGGAGAGCTGGCCCACATCGAGGAGAAAAACCACAAGTCCTTGGGGAGAAAAAATGTATTTTCTACATATCGATATTTCTGCAAACTTGATTAAATAAGCCTTTGAAACCCCTAAATTGTCAAATTTTTTGAGAGTTTTATCCCCTGGTGCACTTTCGAGGGGAAATCACCCCCCCCCCTTCCACCAGGGACCTCAGACCCCACATCAGGCAAATCCTGGCACCACCACTGATTGAGAGTGAAACATGTCTACATTTTCAAAAATGCATAGAAGGATGAAGGCAAGCTTTGTAAATTTGGTGGATAATAGATGCTTGCCTTCCAAATCCAGGTCCCTGCCCCGTCCCTCCCACCACACATCATGTCCATGTTATGTTGTGTCTTCAGAATAGATTACGATGACAGCAAAACCCTGTATGTAGGTACAGTTCCAATATTTACGTTTCTAGCAGACAATTGTCATATTCAAATTGGAATTATCGTGCTCAACAGAAAGTGCTCAGCGAAAACATTTTCATTGAGTTTGTACTTAACGTTCAAAATACTTTGTTGAGTTTGTACTTAACAGGGTTATCATACTCAACGGATAAGTCTCAATCAAATATGCCAAGTGTGTGAGAATCCTAACAGGAAGTACCCAGCTAGTGGTGGTGCTGCAGTAGGACAGGAAGGGCATTTGCTAATTGAAAGTACATTAATACAACTACATTCAGATGAATTCAACCAAATTTGTGTCAATGTTTGTTTATTAGGTAGGGCCCATTTGTATTATCGTTTGAAACACCCAATGGAAATTACTCTATTAACTTAAGTGGTTTATTGGAATATTACAACAAAATGTTACTTTAACAATTACATTTATACAATGACTACATCAGCATAACTTCTATTTATCAACGCTACCCTGCATGCAGAGCTTCTATAAGAATATTTGGCCATAAACCCCTCCCACAAGATGGTCACTATACCACTAATGGAGACATGAATGCAGGCATGTGGGTACGAGGGACACGTATTGTTTCCCACCCCCTTCCCACTTTTTGACTGCAATGTAATTTTATAAGTCAAGATGATGTCTGAAAATTGTTGAAATTAAATGCATAAATGACCCAGATTTTAACGAAAGAACAGTGTACAGCCAGAGTACATCTTATCTTCACCCTTGAGTGGGGATTCCAGTCATAGTTGCCGACAGCTCGACGGTTGTAGTTTAACATCATACCCAGGACGACTTAATTACAAATCTGTCTACTCTTAACTAAAAGATAAGGGGGATAAGATACAAGTTGTGTGGTGAATGCCTGTTGTATTAGTGATCAGATGGAATGAGGTCTGTGAGAAAACATGTAAAATAATGTGGTCTTATTTTTTTTATTTTTTTTTATTTGCAGGATTATCAATGCAGAATTTAAACCCAGGATTAGGTATCATTAACCACAAAGCTTTTTATTCCTGCCACTTTTAAAAATTCACCATATTCAACGTAAAACTGAATTTACTTATCGCAATCCTATCAATAATGGAATTTTACATGCAGCAACAAATTAAAGTGGGTTGCACACATCATTAGACATGAAAGCAGAAACCTATGCAAAAGGCTGGAATTGCAGAAAACATCTATTTCTGGAACAAGAAATTTCAACAAGTAGCCTGTCATGAAGCCAGTTTATTTGGACACTTCACATGATTGTAATGCTTGGTGGCATTTTTTTTTTCATTGAGCATAAATAACCTGAGGGACTGGCAGTTAAGCTTTTATTCAGGGAACAGTGTTGGTATATAAAGTCATTTAATCCTAGCCCTATGTTTTTTTTTCAACTTATTTTTAGACCTTTTTTAATCCTGATTTATGTGTTAGATAAGAAAACCTATATAGCCAGATAATAACTGCTTTGTTGTATTAATTTCACCAGACATAGTTTAACTGTGTTGTATCATGGAGGAAATTTAATATATTTCCTCCATGGTTGTATATAATGAAGGTGACTACATTTAATACTGAACTAAAATATACTGAGCTTGTTAATAAACGAAATATAATATAGATGTAACCTTCTACCACAGAATGTGTTGTGTTTTCAATAAAAAGAATGTTCCTTGTAGTTTTTTGTAGTAGTTCAATATCTATTTTTATGTTTTATTTCAATCAGCAGTGGCTCCAGAAATTTGTTGACAAGCGGTCCAACATGTCCGACGGGAGGTCCGAACCATGGGGCTGATTAAAGCCTTGGTCCGAGGCTAAAAAAAAATCCCTGGTAGGGGTCACTGGAAGAGTATTTATGGCTTAGTATGGTCCAAATTGTGCTTTTAGACCACAATATTAGAGAATGGCAATCCAAATAATGTTATTTGGATAGGCAAATTATATTTTTTATTTTGGATCCAGTGACCTTGTTGTGGCATTGGATGATGAGGGGAGGGGGGAACAAGTCCCCTCCCCACCACTTAAACAGTCTCTGCTGGTAATTTTTTTCAATTTTTGTTATGATATTCAATTGTTGGCCTAATACCTATATCTCTTTGGTGTTATACAGCATTATCCCTATGCAATATTATTCTTATAAATAAATGAATAATCTATACAACTAATTAACTACAAATATTCTCTCAATGTTATGCCCAGTATAAGAACACAATAGGCCTAAATATGACAATCTAGTGGTGTATCAAATTAGAAAGACGATCTACGACTAATTAAGTTATCTAATAAGCATGTATAGAAATGATTATTAAACATGTCACGGTCATTAGTTGCTTGGTTTTGTGTCAATAAGCGATAAAGTTTATTGTGGTGATATTCAATCATTGAGTTAACCATGCAAACACGATGTATCTACATCATTTACTTGCATTCATATTTATGTCAATTTTTAACTGGATGCAACATCAATGAAGCGTGGCATGGAGTGTGTAAAGGAGTTATATGTGTAATACAATATATATATATATAGTGATGATTTACAGGGGAAGGACTAGTGTTATGTAGAGGCGTGGTGGAAGGGCGTACTCCCAGGCTAATTTTCATCCAGGTATTTTACCAAAAACTTTCAAAGTAGACGACACAACGTTGCCTGCTGTTTGTTGGTGGCATCTGGATGGATCGTCTTTATAAATGATCATTTGCACACTCAATGTGGCGTTACATCCTCTATGGAATCGCGTTGGCGCAGTGAGTGGCCGGCTTTACTTGTCATACCCCATCATTCCCACGTCAATACATCTGACGACGCACCTCTATTCTCTCCCCCCCCCCCCACTAAAAACTTTCTAGATAAAGGAAGAATACTTAAGTACTTCAGAATCACTCCTTAAAATGATTACCAGGGAATGTAATGGTCTGTGTAAATAATAGGAACGCTATTAGGTCCTGCTTCTCAAACTATGGGTCACGACCCAAATTTCGGAGGGTCGCAGGACAGTTCTGAAAAAAGACAGACTTCAGCTTTTCTTCATTTTTTCCAGTCGTCTACATTCATCCTTATTTTCGTAACTGTTGTGATAGAATGCGACATTGTTGGGAAGGGATTCAACATACTCGAAACCATGACAAGAACAACGACATTACCATTTCGATGGCGCAGATATGTCCTTGTTAGTGCTAAAGTTTATTTTCTCGACACAAAGAATGTATTTTTAAAGCGCTATAATAGGCCTAATTTTTATCTACAGTATGTTGAATTGAATGATCGTGAGTCTAGCTATGAATATTCGGCATCGTAAAAGAGGAAAGAGTTGACGCTTCGTCTATTAATGACACAACTATAATTCCTCTCCTTTGTGGCAGCCTATTAACACGAGGTTGACTGAAGGTTATCAACTTTTATTACCGTATATTGACAGTCTCTACTGAAGATACCGCCACATATCTAACAACTTTTTAAATTAAGAAAATGCCAATAATTTTAATTCCTTTTTTTTTTAAGTCTAAGTAACATACAGCAAAATATCACAAACCCCACCTGGCTCTCTGGCAGCCTATCCCGTTGGTTCGTTAGGTAGCAACACTCATCAATCGCATGCAGTTGCGCCTTCAACCCCGTCCAGAGCCGTCCTTTGGGAATCAATCCTTTAGGTCAGTAAATAAATTAATATGAAAATGAATATTCATTTTTTCTTTACCGTTTTAACCAATACATTAATTTATATGAACTGATTGGGGTAGGGGGTACTTCTTTTTAGTATTTATCGATTATCTATGCTAACGTGGGCAACATGAATATTAAGTTAAGCATCTTAAAATATTTGATACGTAATTATGTTCAAGGTTTCGGTAGCCAAATATTTGAATAGGCCTACGTGCTACCACCGTCTCTCCAAGAAACACATGAGGAATATTGACTGCATGACTAATACACGAAAAGAATTGGTCCAAATCAATAATATTGTATCTTGTTTTTGAAACCGAACAATATGAACTTACTGACTACGACGATAGTGACGATAGTTTTATTAATGATAAACAATAATACGTCAGTACCGTACTGTATATTATTAACGATGGCAATGGTATGATAGTGATAACTGACAGGCAGTACGTGTACTGAGGTCAGTTATGTAATTTAGTGGTAGTGGGCAGTACAACAAAATCGAAGTAATTTTAATAATTATTATTATTAATGATAACGGCAATACTAATGATAACTGAATGACGTCACTGCCCGCAAACAGACAAATGACGTAATTAAGGGGGAGTGTAATATACAACAGACCATTTTCATCGAATTAATTTTAATAAATCATTTATGTAATAGAAAGAACAAATCTCTACAAAGTTGTATTTGTAATGTGATAGCATACGTAAAAAATAATAATTACATTGGACTCTAGTTATTAGCGGATGTTTGGTTCGTGTAATGTGCGGTAGGCCTATACTAGGTGTAGATCTATTTACTGAATACAGTCATGCCTTTAAAAGGTGTGTAGAGCTTCTTTGAAGAATGGTTTTAAGTAGGTACTTTATATTACAATGGGTTAAGATGATGACGCGCCAATGAGTTTCGTTTGTTGGTAAATATTATATATATAAAAATAACCCCCATGTTTTCAATTACTGTATAACTGGGAGTTCCTTCATCCGGATTATGAGATTTGATTGTTAACATTTAATAATTGTTAAATAGGCGTATGTCATATGCAAATTAGTATGTGCTCATTTTAAAGAAATATGAAAGAAACATAAACAAAAATTTCCCGAACGAGTCCTCAAATCTAACTAATGCACTGTTGACCCACCCAGACTTTGACGGACTTTTTGGCTGCAGTCCTTTTTCAAACATAACTGCTTTTATTATATAAATATACAGTAAAATGAATTAGTTTGTACACTTGTATGAGTAATTATATTATTCCAGAACTTCCGCACCAATCGATCGGCCTTCACTCTGTCTCTTATACACATCTAGATGTGTATAAGAGACAGGTAGGCCTATACTAGGTGTAGATCTATTTACTGAATACAGTCATGCCTTTAAAAGGTGTGTAGAGCTTCTTTGAAGAATGGTTTTAAGTAGGTACTTTATATTACAATGGGTTAAGATGATGACGCGCCAATGAGTTTCGTTTGTTGGTAAATATTATATATATAAAAATAACCCCCATGTTTTCAATTACTGTATAACTGGGAGTTCCTTCATCCGGAATATGAGATTTGATTGTTAACATTTAATAATTGTTAAATAGGCGTATGTCATATGCAAATTAGTATGTGCTCCTTTTAAAGAAATATGAAAGAAACATGAACAAAAATTTCCCGAACGAGTCCTCAAATCTAACTAATGCACTGTTGACCCACCCAGACTTTGACGGACTTTTTGGCTGCAGTCCTTTTTCAAACATAACTGCTTTTATAGCATTATTTAGACCCATAAAACACAAAAATCCTCTGTCTTCGGGGTTTTGCTGACCCCACCGAGGCTTCGCCCCTGGACCCCACGCCCAAAATACCCCACCCCCTCCCCCCTTTGGAAAAACCTGGCCTTGCTACGGGCTTGTGAGGCCTAACAAAAATATCAGTAAGTAATAACAAAATGTAACATAATGAAATACGCCACAGTACCAAATGTAAAGACAAGTGACGAAGCCTGAGTTCAAACTTTTAAGCATTTGGCTGCGCAGTTATACAGATGTAAAATGTATAATATAAAATAATGGATAGATAATAATAATAATTCACAATTATACAGAAGCATACCTTAAGTAGATCAAGTAAGTATGGACGAGAAAAGATCAGTTGAATTACAAGAAATGTTTTTACAAGCTGTTTTAAATACAGGCATAAACATTAAATTGGTAACATAATTCAGTAATACATTCCAGAGTTCAGGGCCATGGTAAAAAAAAATTAAAAAATACATTTTTTTTTGCTCTAAAGTAAGTTTTAAAAAGGAGGTGATAATGATTTCTTAATGATCCTTGTAGAATAATTATGAAATACGGTACTTTGTCTCAACAAAAGTTCGTATAAACCAGTGGAGATGTCACTTTTTCAAGTGAAACAATTATATAAAAGTTCAAACTTAGGATTATCATGTTTTAAATCATATTTCGCTGGAGTATTTCTCTACTTCTCTATATTATAAAAGTAGTTATCCAATGACAAATGATAAAATAAAACACTTAACCAAAAAGAAAGGAGCTATAAAATGCTCACTAACATAACATGATGATGGCGACAATGACGACGATGATTAGTGTATGACGAATGCCGGCGGCGGTGATGATGAAGATGATGTTGATGAGGATTATAATAAATTATAATAACAATGACGGTGGCGATAACAATTATACCCAAAAGTACCATTGATAAGCAAACAAATATTTAGTAATAACATTGATAATGGATCTGTCGCTCCCACAGTGAATGGTAAGTGCCGTTGGCCTGTGCTAGGTATCGTAAAGAAATATAAAGAATTTGGTCCATTGATGTTAATTCGCCATTAGGTTCTCTATACTAGCTATTGTTATTGAGGATCACGTGACGTTATTCGCTTGGTTTCACCTATTGATATACTTACCCAATAGTCGCCTTGTATGGATTAAGATAACAATGGATAACTATTTTTAATGGAAATGTAAAAGTGGGCTCCGCGACTGTTGAGAGCCAGATCTTGTTTCTCTGAGACGGCAGCTCTCGTTTTGTTGGATTTTTATATAACTGTGTACCAACATGATGGGTGTTGTTATCTTCGCGATTATATCACTGTTTTTACATTCATCAAATGCACAAGGTTAGTGATATTTTTATATTTTGTCTGTAGATTTCTTGTGTTTCTTTTAGAACCTGGATTTTATGGGTGCGGCATGGGTTTGGTATTGTTCTCCTGTGTACCTTGCATTCCTTCAAGTTAAAGTGGTCTTCGCGATCAGCCTATGCATATTTATTATTTGGAATGAAATGTCCACACAAATTAACTAGACCTATTTTATAAATATTATATATTATAGGTTTTAAGGCCTCTGACATTAATTTGCCTACTACTGGAATAGCAAAATGAGATGTGGTCATAAATTAAGCAAGTTAAGAATTGAAAATAACAATAATTATTATCTCTTTTTTCCTCGCACTTTGTTACCGTAATGACTGGATAAAAACAAAAACAAACAAAAACATTATATCCGTGGCATGACATTGTTAACTTTAAGACGCGGAAAACGTCTTACTGTTGATGGTGTATGCAATAATGCTTGCACATACCGAGAGTGTACAGACCTAGACTTACAAGCAAAGAATAGTGTTAGCTATACACACTGTTTTGTATAGGCCTATTATAAATAGGCACATTTTATCTAGGTATAATTATCATTTGAGTGATGTATCTATGGAGTCTGACGCGCTGTACGACGGATCGAATTTTTGTCCGACGTGACGGTCGCGACGAACCGTTCCGTCAGGATATTATTATTTAATTTCGTTATATATTTTTTTATATATTATATTATTTATATAGGCTTACGATATGGTTTCGACATATAATTTCTAATTTCGTTAGATTAACATTTTGCATCCCCATATACATTTGATTCAAGGTAAATCCATATTAGGTCTCCTGAATTGACTTTAGTTGGTGGTTTGACGCGTTTCACACTCGATCCGTTCACACGAATCGAAGCAGGTGTAGGCCTAATTTGTTCTTGATAATAGTCACAGCCTGTCGGTTGGATGAAACCCCTGTTTTTATACCTATACGTGCGCATTCATTCCTGATGATGACATAATTAATGTCGAAATATTGAATCCCAACACGATGGCGTGTATTTCAATACTTGGAGTATGTATTATACTTTCTTATCTGAGATTAATCAGTGGACCTTTCGGTGCGCATTCATCGTGCTGGATTTAAGATGATTTAAGTCCATATGCTAGGTATATTGCGAAATCATGTTAATGGCAATGGTCTTCAATTGACAATAGTACATGATTTCAAGTCCGTGACATGAGAAAAAATAGAACTTGAGCCAGGTCTTAAAAGTAGTTAAATACAGCTGATCGAATAGATTTATTCAGATACTCTATGGGTTAAAGTTGAAATATACATTGATAAACCGTAGTGACAATTAGGCCTATGAACAATTTGCGTAGGCCTTGTTCCTGCGACCCTGCCATTACATTATGTAATTTTTTGCATACAAGCATACAGGGACGTAGCCAGGATTTTGAAAGGGGGGGGGGAGCCGTTATGCGAATTACGTAGGACCCCGGCGGGGTCAAGGTGGCGAATCCCCCCCCCCCGTGAAGTAGCGCACTCTGAACGTTCTTAGGACTGTTTGAGAGGATAAAGTGAAAATTGCAATAGACGCATTATAAATAAGTGCAAAAATAATTATATAATAAATCAACAATGACAGATCCAGGAATTTGAATGTGGGGTGAACCAGGGAGGAACCACCCACCTCAGCCCCACCATGGTTGGGGCTGAGGTAAGAGAATTTATGATTAGAGCATTTCTAGATGGCCAGAAATTACACTCTCGCACTTCAATTTGAATATATATTTTTTTTCTTTAAAAAATTAAGTGGGGGGGGGGGGCTTGAATCCACCTCTGCTCAAAACATTCTCCATCCAGAATAGTCATAATCACGAAAAATGGACACAAAAAAATAGATCACATCCTAAAAACAATTAACAGCAGTCACTAAGACATACATCAGGAGCCGACTCGATGGAGTTTAATGTCATCCCAAGGAAGGGCACAGATCTGTTTTGAAAGGTGGAGGGGAGGGCATTTTTTGAGTCGACACCCACCTCAGCCCCACCATGGTTGGAACTGAGGTGAGAAAATTTGAGGAAATAGTACCTTCTAGATGGCCAGAAATGACACTTTTAGTAAAATTCATCATCATCACATCAAAATTAGTCAAAATGAAGCGCCAAAAAAAAATTCTCATCTTTTATTTTTGACAACCATAGAGATCTTATTAATGTGTGTGTGATATACCATAGAAAACAAAGCTTAGAAACATTATCTTTGAGTATGTACTGGACGTGATTTCACAACCACCTCAGCCCCAACATGGCTGGGGCTGAGGTGAGAAAATTCGAGGAAATAGTACCTCTCGAGATGGCCGGAAATGACACTTTTATATAGTAAAATTCATCATCATCACATCACCATTATAGTCAAAATGAAACGCCAATAATTTTCTCATTATCTTTTATCGGGAATCTACTTAATACCGGTATCCAGGACAGCTTACTAAGCTTTAACTATATTATGATCAACAAATCACAACTTTTTTTCGCATTAAGCAGAATTTTCTTCACTTTTTATTGCTATTAATATTATTATCAATTATTACTATCGTCGTCGTCATCATCATCATCATTGTTATTATTATTATTATTATTATTATTATTATTACTGTTAGTAGTAGTATTATTAAACAAAAATTTAAAGCTTGCAAAAGGATAAAAACGAAATTGAACCACAGTATCGCATTTCTATCTTAAAAGACCTGGTCTGAGGTTTATGGATTTAAGATTTTTTTAAATCACGCTTAGGCCTATGTGTTCTATTAGGCCTATGTATAACGTGTACTGATGCATATTTACATGTTATAGAAGTATTCATTGAGTGATCCGAGGAAAGAATTTGTATTGGCTCAAGAATAAGCTTAAAAATTTTGACACTGTGTAAAAAAAAAGGGGGGGGGGGAGCCGCGGCTCCCACGTCTCCCCCTGGATACGTCCCTGCAAGCATAATTGTATACGCTATAAGACGCTCGGAAGTCAACTGCTTGTCTTTTAAAATCTATATACCAGGCCCGTATTTAGGAATTTCAATGGGGGGGTTCGGCTTGGGACTATGCGGAACTCCTTATCAAAACCCACATACTTCTTCTTCTCTCCCCTAAATGGGAACTTTATTCAGTGTGATAGGCCTCAGAGCCTTTTACAGTATAAATAAATATACATTTTTAGTACTTTAAATAAGGCGAGACTTTTTTATACCTTGTTTAGCGAACCCTCCGATTCCGAAATTGTGGATTTAAAAATAAAATGTTATTATGTGTGTTAGCGTACGAACCGCCATGAAAAATTGAAAAAAAGAAATAAAAGTAAAAACTTGTATTTATTTTTATTCTGTCCTCCGCTACATGGAATCCCTTTTTCCGAAAATTTAAATCTTCCTAATTTTCACGGAACTCCATCTCCCGCGGGGGGTGGGGGGTCGTCCGAACCCCCCCCCTAAATACGGGCCTGTATACAATGTTAACAAGACAACTTGGCATTGTTTTAGCTCTTTTACAACCATGTTTTAATTGTTTGGCGTATAATACCCTTAGGCTATTTTGAATGACAAGTTATATGCAGTGGACATGTCCTCAGCAATAGAATTTAGGAACAGTGTTCGATCAGGGAGTTGAGCAAAGTGAATATAATATACATTGTCCCCAGTCATAGTAAGAAAGCGCCAGAAAGCATGTCTATAATATAGTTATTCGCTATTATTATCTCTCAGAATTATATCCACCGGTTACGCCAACGCATTAGGCCTACCTAATGAGCACAAATTACCGTTAGACGTGTTAAATAACGTTCGTTAATATAATATTATTATGGTGGCCTCTAATTATCTTTTGTGCGGTGAAATTCATGGTTAGAGCAGTCTTCAATTGACGTGTTCTATTGCATACTTTTGTTGCCAGTAAAATGGGTACCACATATTTGGGTTGGAAAGAATCTATTCTTGAGGTATAATAGGCGGTATTTGTTGAGCCAAGCCTTTTGTCAACTTTAGGGGATTGCCATTATTGTTCTCTGTATGGCTTTAGCCTATTCACTGCCGGTCACAATTCACGGTCTCTTGCTCTGCCGATCCGTAACAATTCGTACCAGGTTCGATCTCTCCACAACCTTCAGTAATCATACTGAATGCCCTCATGTGCCTTTTGACAAAATAGAGATATCGTTGTGCTGCTAAATGGGGAGGCTTATAATCGGGCTGATAAGTGTATGATTAAAATTAATTATTATAGGTTCAATGCATCATTATGTCGTTGCATACCATTGAATTGTTTAAATCGTGCCGTAACTTAATATCCAGATACTTCATGAAGGAATATTTGTATAACGTAATTGAAGCATCCCTGTCATTGTAAGCATCTGACATTAAAAACGAAAATAAAAAATAGGCCCCGTATAAAAACCACAAACTTAAACACCATGTAGGCCTATTATACATGGAACATTTAACATCAAAATTTGCTGATCGAAACTGTAACATGAATAACTTAAAGATTATGTGTCCTGTTCTATTACTCAGGCGCTCAACAACAAACATTCACTACCTTGACGTTGAGCACTGCACAAGCTATAGGCCTACTCATGTAGGAACATGCTATACTGTGGTGTAGGCTTATAGGGTATTTCGGCCCCTTTCCCCCAGTTTTTTTTAATATTCAAAAATCTGTATCTCATTAACTGTCTGGCTTTAATCCCTGTCCCAGACTATCAAATTTTAATTGACAAAAACATGTGACATGCCTAAATATGGTCATGATGACATCACATCATGACCATATATAGGCTCATTATGACTAAATATGGGCATAGGCCTACATTTGTCAAAGAAAATTTGATAGTCTGGACAGAGCTTTACGATTAAAGAGGATATGGTATATTTTAAAAATCTATTTTGGGAATAAATGTATTTCTAAAGCCGAATAAACTGTTTACAATCAGTCCAATAGGCCTATTATTTATTTTCTCATCTATGATGAAAAACATTAGCAGATCACAAGGTTATGCTTCTTTACAGTATTTACTTAGGCCTACTATTGAAGCTAAAGATAATTTTGTAGTGTTCCAAGTGGACAGTATTCCAACCACACCCGGTTCTTTTGGCCGAGTGTTAATTAGTTCATATTAGTATTGTTGAATGTGCCTACCGAGACATGAATAAATAATGAATAAATTATTTAAATGAATGACTCTACTCGACTAAATGAATGTGTGTGTAAACGAATCATGTATGAACGTTTTGTTTTGTTTGTTTTATTGAAATGTTTCACATGAATCAAATACTAGTCAAATACATTATAAAAACAATTTGATGTAACAATATGGGTGGTGGTCAAAGTAAGTTCACAGAAGTTGTGACACCCCCGCCCCCAGAAAGCTTCAAATCCACTCAAATATCGATGAAGATCAGAGTAAGAGCATGTTATAAGAGAATATTATACAAGAGAAAAAATATGTATAAAAATATATATATATATTATATATATATATACATACATATACACACATATACATTTAAATTTATTTTAAATTTATTCATTTAATAGAATTTATATAGCGCACATTTCCAGAAAACTGCTAAAGGCGTTTTTTTCCCTGGTCAGTGGATACAGAATCAATCAACAACGTGCAACCGCCTCCAGTACGGAGTAGGCCTATTCCTAGTTATGCGTGTAATCAGCACTACTGATTTCATTCCAAATCATTCACCTCATACTATGTACCGATTTACACTCCTATTTGAAGAGTGGCAAATGCAGATAAAGACAAAAACACAAGCATTGTGACGAGCTAGATATTTTTTTAAACCAAATGTTGATTACTCTAATATCACTATTCAAATTTTGAGATTTATTGGTTGATGCGAAACATTTTCAACATTTTTGTCATCCGATTTCATTTTTTCATTTATATGGGTATCTTCTGTGCCGCCATATTTATAGAGGAAATCAAGAATTATTAATCATAAAGAAACCCTTGAAATGTATTGATTCTAGGCGTGGGTGCGCTAACGCCTTCTTGATTATAATATACATAAAGAGCAAAAACATGTCATTAAAATTGCAGAAGCAATGTCAATAAAATCAACAAATCAGCTGTCAAACCAAAGTGTTATTTACACAAAACTTCCGAATCGCTTTCGACTGTAATACTCGAACGTACTTTAGCGCCCCTTTTTGATCATAATCGTGATGGAATAGGCCTAATTTACTGACGATAACACTATGGAATTAAACTATAAATTTCTTCCATTGTTAAACATCTGTAATTGTACACTTACATTTAACAATCAATCTTCATAACTTTACCCGAACTTGTCGATTTATAATGATTTTCTTGTGATTATTTATTTCATTAGCTTAATTTAATAATTTATTTCATCTTTACTCTGATTATGATACTTTGGGTTAATTAGATTTTATTATGGATTGATAATTCAACGTTCTTCGAACCTACATGTAATCCCCGGCGGTCTGTACATGCAATTTTTATAACATAACCTTCATATGTTTAATTAATGACAGTAAATCGTGTACATTCCATTTTACTTGTTTATCTCATGATGCTAATTAAAATTATTTTGTGCCTAGGGTTTAGATATATAGGATTCGTTATTGTGCTAAAAATTTGTATTGTGTAGAAAAAGCCAATAAACAAACAATGATTCAGAGCGTCATACCCAATAAGACATGATATTGAAACAGCATGTAATTTGTAAGCATAGGCCTATATGTATAAAAACTGGAATAGTCTATGTTAAATACAAGGTTTCTAGAAGCCGAGATATGTGTCTTTATAAAAAAAAATCGTTGGATTTCGTAACTTTACCCGAGGCAAACAGGAAGGCTCTCCGATTCGACCGACCAATCAGCGATGCCGGAATAGCGTGCAGCCATATTATGGAGACCAGGCTTTAGCGCGACAGGCCTGTGTGTTTTTTTGGTTTTTTTTTTCGTGGTCTAATATGACAAATTATTTAAAAGGGACTTATTGAAGTATCTAAAATACATATTTATATTTTACAGTGTACACAAATCCTTGTACTACTATAGCGCCGTGTTTTAATGGCGGTGTATGTAGAGATATTGGGACCACCAATGCGGTTTGGTATGAGTGTTCATGTCCGACAGGATTCAGCGGATCAAATTGTCAATTAATCTCCTGTAAGTATTATTAATATTTAGCATTATTATTATTATTATTATTATTATTATTATTATTATTATTATTATTATTATTATTATTATTATTATTATTATTATTATTATTATTATTATTATTATTATTATTATTATTATTGTTGTTGTTGTTGTTGGTGTTGCTAGTGTTGTTGTTGCTGTTGTTTTTGTTGTTATTGTTGTTATTATTATTATTATTATTATTATTATTATTCTACTGTATTATCATTGCTATTATTCTGTGTACTTACTTTCGAAACGTATTTCTTTGCAGCTCTAGCAACTGGCTGTGCTTCAAATCCATGTCAAAACAATGCAGCGTGCACAGCATTTGGTTCAGGAGCCTACGTTTGCACATGTCTGGACGGATTCACTGGTGTAAATTGCCAGTTCACATACGCAGCTGAAAGTAAGTTTTAACCAGTTCATTTGGAGTATTTCTTCTATAGATTGTGTATCATCCGTTTCCAGAAACTGTATGCTTAACAGCTCTAAAGCTATATCCACAATATCAAATTTTCTTTGACAGAAAAATCTAGTGTATGCCCATATATAGTCATGATGTGAGTATATATGGTCATGATGTGATGTCATCATGACCATATTTAGGCATGTCACATGTTATTGTCAAACAAAATTTGATAGTCTGGACAGGGCTTAAGTTGAAAGAGTGATGGGAAGCTTGCCTAACCATTCCATTTTCCTGGTCTGTTCCCCCCCCCCCCCCCGCAATTTCACAATTTCTTAAGCTCGGTTTCCATAGAATCTCTCACCCTATCGGTCGCCAACGTATGTCGGGAAGGTTTTACCTGGTTCAACTTTGCCGATTGCGTTGCAGAGGAATCAGGGTGCATTTCTATCTGCCCTGACGCAATTTGGAAGGCACTCCGATTCGTCTGCAACGCAATCGGCAAAGTTAAACCAGGTTCAACCTTCCCGACAACTGTCAGCGAATGTCACTGATAGAGTGAGCGATTGTTTTTTAAAACCGAGTTTATCTATAGCATAACTGCCATATTTATACATATTTTTTTTATAATATCTTTATGTAAAATTTTATCATTGAAATCTCAACCCTGACTCAGAATTACCAGGATGGTGTCCGTAGGGGTTAGTTTATACCGTGATAGTTAAGAGTTCATTATTATTATGATTATGTCTAATTTATATAGATTTAATCTGAAATAAAATTGAATGAATAATTTACTGCACTTGTATTTCACAACATATTAACATGCTCCTTACTTTATATCATATAATATCATATCATATATCTTTTCGCATATCATATCATATATTATATATATATATATGTCTATATATAGGCCTATATATATATATATATATCTTCTTTTATTTATAAGTTTAAAATATATATACAGAAATAATAAAATGACAATAAACACAAATACAACTTAAACAACAAAGCACAGAGGAACATCTTGACTTCATTTTAAATAAACCGTAACTCAAATGTTATTCATCAAATACATTATTTATTGTTATATAAATTATTTATTTATTAATATTAATTTTATTTCAGCCTGTAATGTTAATCAATGTTCCAGTGGCCAAACCTGCTACAATCGCAATGAGCCTGGTGAACAAAACTATGTATGCGAATGCAACTCACCATTCCGCTCAGGCTATAACTGTATGACAGTTACAGGTATGTGTACCTACACATGCTATGTTAGATAGTAATTTTAGGATCTTCAGCAGTGGTGGCGCCTAGATCGGGATGGGTGGGGAGAACACAATTCGTCGGGGTGAACAATGTATATGTAATTTTTACTGAATAATCGATTAAATAAGCCTTCATCAAATCCCTATGATTTGTATTCATTTTCATAGGACAATAATTCTTTAATATTTGGGCCACTTTAATTAACAATACAAATTTGTAGAGAGCAACCGTTTGACAATCCTTTAAGCCGGTTTCCACTAGACGATTTATTCGTGCGAATCGAAGGCATCGGTTCGGTTCCTGAGCTCGGATTGGATGCGCATTTTTTTAGCTTCGCGAAAAGCAAAAGTTCCAACTACCGATTTTGCTGAAGCGAAAACTCCGATAGCGATGTGAATGCGCATGCGCATGAACGACGCTTTTGATACGCGGGAATAAATTCGCCTAGTGGAAAACCAGCTTTGTAGAACGTAATGACGTCACTAAAATCCATCTGCGCATGCGAGAATATTAGGTTCTCGTCGCGTTGGCCAACGAAGGACGCCCGGTAGGACCAAAGATCGTATAGCGCCGCTATCGTAGCGGCGCTATACGATCTTTGGTAGGACGGTCACACATGAGTGATTCCGTTCTGGCGTCGAGTCGTCACGCAAATCGAAAGCTCCCTAATACTGCAACTGTAATTATACATTTTATTGTTTTACTTTACAGAAAATAGTGCAATTTTCACCTGTTATGGAACCAAATGCGCCTATGGATATTTTAGTTCAATCAATTATCCTCAAATCTATGAGCCTCGTTATAGTGCGCTCTACCTCGTCTACGTTCCCGGTGTTGATCGTATAGATTTCTTTTTTGATAATACCTTCAATATTGAACGACCAAAGGATGAGCTGTACGTTGGAGCAGGGTTGTCGCCCCCTGATCTTACCACGTTTAACAGTATACACGATGCCAGCATAAACATGTTCTTCTTCGACGGTGCGCAGAGACCAGGGAAATTTAGCGTTTTGTCAGATTCCGCCTGGCTGTACTTTATAACAGATAAGAATATTGAATATTCTGGCTTCAGAGTACGTTGGGAAATGTACAGTAAGTATTAATGATTAAAATGAAATGGAAAAAAAGAAACTTAATTAAATTGAAAATCTTTCTAGTTATTTCAATTAATTAAAGAAAAATTGATATGACAGCAGTACTTAGTACTTCAAATTAACACACAAATTACATCAGTATGAAGAATAAAATAAAAACTAACAGCAAACAAAACTGAATTATTTTTCACAAAACCTAAAAAAACATTGTCAATAAATTTGAAAGTTAATATAATTATTAAAATTACTTTATTACATTTTAGATATTTTACTAATATGTTATTAATATCCTAACGTCTATTGTGTTATAATTAGTCACTTGATCTTCTTTGCAGTTAATCCGTGCGACAGTTTCACTTGCCTGAATGGAGGAACTTGTCAGTTGGATGGAACTGGTAAAATTGCAACTTGTCTGTGCCTATCATGTTTCGTTGGATCGATGTGCGAAACAAGTAAATATTACATTTGTATTTTACATTGTTTACAATAATTTAATTTCTTTGCAGTAAGGTTCATTAACATAGCATCTTATTTACCTTTAATATTGTAAGAAATATCTTGCCTTCAGTGAGTATTGATGTTTAATTCATTTTTGTTCAATAATGAAATCATTTAGTCTGCCAGCATACTCCCCACTAATTAAATCCAAATATTTTGCATTCTACCTGGTAATATAATTAATTATTAAATATCAATAATTAATAATAGTAATCAGGCCCGTATTTAGGAATTTCAATGGTGGGGGGGGGGGGTTCGGCTTGCGACTATGCGGAACTCCTTATCAAAACCCACATACTTCTTCTTCTCTCCCCTAAATGGGGACTTTATTCAGTGTGATAGGCCTCAGGCCCTTTTACAGTATAAATAAATATGCATTTTTAGTGCTTTAAAATAAGCATCGTTTATCATAATTTTTTCTATTTTATGATAATAGTAACTTTTATTAGTAAACTTAATCAAATTATCCAAGATTCATTTTAAATAGTCGGCCTGGGATCCCTAACTACATGTACGTACTATTTTTGTTTTAGCCCGCTTTTGTAGGCCTACAGAATAAAACGGCAATGAAAAAAGCTTTTTCTAATTTTCACGGAACTCCATCCTGTCTCTTATACTCCAAGATTCATTTTAAATAGTTGGCCTGGGATCCCTAACTACATGTATGTACTATTTTTGTTTTAGCCCGCTTATGTAGGCCTACAGAATAAAACGGCAATGAAAAAATCTTCCTAATTTTCACGGAACTCCATCTCTCGCGGAGGGGGTGGGGGCCTGGTATATTTGAGTAGGAGCGTGTGGCGCAGCGTGAAAGTTGTTGGATTTCTGGTCGTGAGATCAGACGCTCGTCGTACTGCGTGTGTCCTTGGGCAAGACACTTTACTTACGTTTGCCTCTCCTCACCCAGGAGTATAAATGGGAGGGTCATGCTGTTAACCTGCTCGTTGGTGACCTTGCTACGACTGTTCCAGTCAAATTAATTACAGCAACTAGATATCAATTGATATCATACGAGAAAAAAAAAGTATATTAAGGTCTATACGGTTACACATACTCAAAACGTGAGCACGTACAGAAAAGAAAAAAAGTGGGTCGAAATGCATTGCCAAAGGATGTAGGCCTAAATAGCGCGAAAAACTTATAATTTTTAAATATGAAATCCTTTCCAAGATACAGTGCACCCTCCAATTCGAGATCCCTCTAATTTTAGACCACTTTTTTCAAAGAACTAGCATTTGTCAACCTGGGACAGCATGTATCTTTCATTGCCCTGTTCTGATTGGTCAGAAAGTTTGGTTGGCTGAGTCCGGAAACGTCCATTATTTGATTTAATCTATTGTTTCTGTAGGTCTGAATGCTTGCACTAATAACCAATGCCAGAACGGCGGTGCGTGCTTCCCTCTTGCAAACTCATGCACTGAATACCAATGTCAATGTGCCTCATGTTTTACTGGAACACGTTGCGAAACTCGTAAGTTAACAATATTTATTACTTATAGTACGGTAATAAACTGAAAAAACTACCTTGGATCCAATGTTGATAATCTACCTCGGAAGTCGCGGGAATCACCCGGAAATCAGGACGGACTCCCGCAAGCAAGCAATAGGCCTAATCTCAAGGAATGTAACCCCTCTTCCGCAAATTTATATTATATCTGAACATTTTCACTACTGGTAGTTATTGTCAATTGTCTCATGGAAGTCAGTGCCGATGGATATCACTTGCGCACCAAAATAAAATTAGATGTGTTAAAAAAACATCTAATTTTTAACCAGATCTCCCGGAAGTGATTTATTTCAACTTGGAACCACTGATAATTACTGACATACGATATCCTAATCAGCAGGGGAGGATCCAGTAGGGGGCACGCGGGAACGCGCCTAAGCCCACACGTTATACCACTTAAATTTTCAACATATCAATGCATATTAATGTTATTTACGTGCTACTCACTTGTCTATTCTGAAACTGTTGTGCCCCACCCTCCGTTTGAAAAATTGTGGATCCGCCCCTGATCAGCATCTTCCCTACAGTATATTTGATTTTAGAATAATATGAATTCTGACTAAAACTTTTATATAAAATTCAAAATATAAAAAACTTTAAAACATATACATATTAATGTATCATTAAAAAGAGGAAGTATATAGTATGGTAAACTTTTATTAGCAATTCTATTTAATGATTCTCTATGTTTTTATTCTTCTGAATCTTTATTATAAGCTATGCCTCTCTTTATCTAATTTTTAGTAATCTTGTTGACATTATAATTTTTACACTGGTTCTTCTTATTCATGGCACTGTTAAATCTCCATTAATTTATTGTCAGTTCTTAATGCATGCACAAACAATCAATGTCAGAATGGAGCTACCTGCAACCCTGAGCCAGATTCATGTACTGAATATACATGTTCTTGCACAGCCTGTTTCGTAGGACAATTATGTTCAAATGGTCAGTTGGGATGTCCTCTAGCTATTGCATCTTTTATCTGCTGCCCTGTTTTGTTTGTTAGTAATCAGGTTTAGCATGTGGACTATATGTTGTTATCAGAGTGCTTTAGATTGCACGACGACGGTACATTAAGTTATGACAGTTCTAATGTAATTAATTGAATGCTTTGATATTTTGATATGCATTTTGATACCTACCGTACCTATTTTCCCATACAGTTTATATTTGTTGAGCTATGTACTTGTGGATTGTAAACAAACGTTTTCAGCTATTGGCTGCTGTTTTGTTTGGTTTTTGTACCTGAATAAACAAAAATAAATAAATAGACTTAAATAAATAATGTAGAACCTAGTTTAACGTAATGACGTCACTAAGAAGTAATTTGGCCCGAATGTAAAACGGTAACGAATGAGTGAATCCGTTTTTGAGTTACGTCGTCGCGCAAATCGAAAGCACCATATTATGTCATAACTGTGAGTCTAAAAGTGCACCTTTCGTTTTTATGTTATTTGTGAATTAATTTGTAGATTAGAAAACTTTCGAAAGTTTTAACATCTTTACTTACGGTACCACCAGTCGGTACAGACAACGCTTTCTCTTTCTTTGATCGTGGATATATATTAATGTTTACTGAGAGATGCTGTTCGTGTTGCTAAATGCTTAGAGATCTGTCTTACTAAAACAACATTGTGAACCCTCATATCCACATTACCACGTTTTCGTATTTATCAGTGATTTGCCCAGTATATAGGAATTGATGTCATACGGTATCACATCCATATTATGGAAAAATCACAGGTATATCACTTAAAACTTGATCAGAGTCTGATCAAAGCTTAGCTTTCCTTGTGCTTACACTTTCAACATCCTACAGATGTTAACATAACAATTCAATAATGATACTAAACAAATATAGGCAGTGGTTAAGGATTGTGTTCTGTTGTTTAGTTCACTTTGGCATCTTGCTTGTATTCTTTTGCCGTCATGAAGCATAACTTATATATGGCCCACTTTTCTTCAGGTTGCAGTACGTCTTCGTGCTGGCGTAAATGTTGTTGTGTACCGAGTCTATATTTAATGTATTTAATAATGCATTTTTAATAGAGGTTGCAGAAAACTAATACACTGTCATGGGCCAATAATTATATTTAATATATATAAAATGATCCCTTTTAGCATAGGCCTGTGAAATACTTCAGCTTAGAACAGTGACTTGTTATTTGTTTTTTCCCCCATTGATTTTTGTTTTCGGAATATATTGAGAATAAAATAAGGTTAATTTGTTCCTTTCAAAGTGTTGAATGCTTGTTCAAACAACCTATGCCAGAACGGAGCTGCTTGTGTTCAGGTTTCTGGTTCCTGTACAGACTACACTTGTAGCTGCACATCTTGTTACACTGGACAATACTGTCAGACATGTAAGCAGTTTACTGTAGTTTGTTATCTGTATTCTTACTGCTCCTTTCCGCTAAGTTCCGCCCCTTGGATATCGTTACTAAGGTCTCACGTGACAGCGTAGGCTGCCTAATTTAGAATTTTGCACGAAAAGTTGTGTATTGTGTGACAACTCTGTGTGCTGTGGGACAATCCAGTGACGTATTTAGGAGTTGTAGTGCTGATGGGGGATGGGGGGTGCGATCATCGGTAGGGGACGCTAACTCGCAAAATAAGGTGATTTAGGTGCTTTTAACAACTTGACCGTGATATTTTTTTTTTGTGTATAAGAGACAGGGCCTGGGGAGTGCGAGTAATTTTTGGAGGGGCCTGTGCACCCTTTAGATACACCACTGGAACAAGTGCGTATTTCTGGCCCGGTGTTCTGATTGGTCATTTAAGTTTTATCACTCTGGAAGGTCTTTGTATTGTTGAATGTGTATCTGCCAATATCGTTTGTTATTTGTAGGGTCCTGTCGTCCATTGAATGTAGTGGCGCTCAACTTTAATTGGACTCTTTAACTCTGTACAGTACTTCTTTCTGATACATTGATTCTCATATTATTTTAATAAATGCTATCATCTGAGCATCTTCGAAAATGACATGAAATAGTAGTCATTGCGATTAATTGTGGTGGTGGTGGGAGGAATGGTGCTGATGGACAGGATGATGATAATTCGTGTTGCGAGGATCGTTGGTAATAAAATAAATTAATAAATTTGGCAAAGGCAACATCAAACAACTTCAACATTAATATTAATGAAATATAAAATAATTGTAATGATAGTAGTAATAATGATAAACTTTATAATTGTAACTTAGGAACGATAATTAATTTCATTTGTTTTTAAAATACATTAGCACTGAACGCCTGTAGCAACAACTTCTGTCAGAATGGAGCTGCTTGTGTCCAGGTTGCTGGTTCATGTACAGCATACACATGTACCTGTGCATCATGCTACACTGGAACATTCTGTGAAACATGTAAGTCAAGTTTATTTATTAAACTTACATTTTGTACTTGTTTTGCCGTTTTGTAAATAAATTTTAAAATCTTATTAACATTAATCTTTTAAAATATTATGGCGGTCCGGTGGATATTAAAATTTGCGAAAACATTTTCTACTTCCAATACTGTAATCAATTTACTGCAAAATCCAAATAGGTTCAATCGTGTCGCTGGCGGCGGGCTAGTTGAGAGCATGGAGTCATGCAACAAATCTCAAACAAGCGAGCGATTAAGGCCTAACGCCCGTATTCTTAAAACAAACTTTAGTCGAACTCCGAACTAGAACTTCATTTAGTGCTAGTTGCATCTTTAACTTCAATTTGTATTCACAAACAATGTAGTCGAAGTTTTAACTACGACTAAATCAAGTCCTACGCCCGTATTCTTAAAACAAACTTTAGTCGAACTCCGAACTAGAACTTCATTTAGTGCTAGTTGCATCTTTAACTTCAATTTGTATTCACAAACAATGTAGTCGAAGTTTTAACTACGACTAAATCAAGTCCTAGTTTTAGTTCAACTGAAGACGACTGGCAAGCCACAACTATCAAACTAACCAATGAAAAGGGCTAACTTTAGTAGCAGACGAAATTTTAGAGATCCGGTAACGCGGATGAATATTAAGC